AATTCAGGTCCAAGTCCTTGTCTTATTTCAAACAACATTTCAGCAGCCTCCCAACATCTCCCCGGTTTAGGGGAAAAAAAACAGGAGGCCGCCTACCCACCATGTCAAGAAAGACATGCACGGTTGGTGTTTGTGAGACACCGCGGCCGTAATTTTTTTGTCATCCACCACGCCAAGAAAGACATGCATAATTTTTTTTAAAAATATTTTATTTTAAAAAGAGTTCTTTATTGCCCCGCTGTGCTAAGAAAAGCACGCACAGGGATCGCCCGCCTTGGCGTAGGCTTCGCACCGAGTTTCCTCCCGCCACGCTAAGAAAAGCGTGCACAAGGGGTCCCTCAGCGCGCCGAAAATGTCGAAAATATAACTTTTGGAGGGGATTACCTGCCTCGCCACAAGCACCGCGACGAGCTCCCTCCCACCGTGCTAAGAAAAACGCGTATGGGTGGTTACTCGCTGCGCTATAAGCGTCGAGATGGGTTTTCCAAATTTAGGAGGATATATCTTGGCGACCGGCGGCGACAAAGTTTGCACACAAAATTATAATCATAATAGTAATTTATTATTATTATAATTGATAATAGTAACTTATTATTATTATAACTAACAATAATGACATGAGTAACTATTATTATTGTAGTTATAATTAATGATAAACTAAAGTATCAATAATAATAATAATTAGTAATAAAATAGAAATAATTAAATCTATACCTAATAACCTAAGGAGGTCGGGCTAGGCAAGGTTAAATGGAATTGAGGCTATATGGAGCTCAGGTTAGGAGGAGTTTTATTGGCCTTAGGTTGTTATTTGCGAATGGAAGAAATAGAGGCAGATTTACGAGGCTTGACCGAAGGAGCGTGTGGGAGGCCTCGACTTGAAGGGTAGTTCAGCCAGGCTTGGAGGAGATGGAAGAGGCACCGGCTGCTCGGGTTTGGAACAGGTAAGATCTCTTGAGGCTTGAGCAGAGGGAGAGGTCGGCTTCTTTAGGTGGATCGGGTAGATAAAGAGGTGGAGGTGCTCGGCTCTAGCAGGAATGAAGCGATTGGATGGGAGTGTTCGGCTAGAGCTCGGGTTGGAGGCTCTCTAGATTGACAAGGTAGAGAGAAGGCTCTCTCTTTTCTTCCCTCTCTCTCTCTCTCTTTCTCTATGTGGACCGAAGAAATGAGGAAGTCGGGTGCAAAAGTTCGTGGATTGGAGACCGACTGGAGGCGTCGAATGAGGCAACGAGTTGCTTGTGGCTTGTTATGTCAAAGGAGGAGCGGTTTTAAGGCTTCGGCAAAGGTGGGGAAGAAGAAGTTTAGAGAGCTATTGAGCTCTCGTTTTATTACTGAAGCCTGAACCGCGATTGAGGCGAGATGTTCGTATACGGAAGAAGTGAGCTGAGCGACGCCATTTGCAGATGCATGGGGCACGATTTTGGCAGGGATTTGCGGCAGGTCTTGGCCACAGGTAATGATTTGCATTTTTTTTATTTCTTTTGTCTGTTTGCTTTTGGTTATACTATGGAGGTCAACACTCCTCGTGAGAGACTGCTTGCCCTAAGTACTCCACACTAGCCTGTACAAAGCAACACTTCTTCAGATTGGCCTTTAGTTGTTGCTCCTGTAACACCCCTAAGATCATCCTCAAGTGCTCTTAAAGTACCTTGTTTGACCTGCTATACACCAGGATATCATCAAAGAAACCAACACAAACCACTTGACATATGGTTGTAATTCCCTATTCATGAGGGACCTGAATATCGTCGGGGCATTGGCAAGGCCAAACACCATCAACAAGAACTCATAGTGTCCCTCATGTGTTCTGAAAGGCTGACTTATTCATAATCTATCCAATCTTGAGCAGGTTCAATTTGCAATTTGATCTTGTGGACCTGAAATGTTAGTAGGCGAGGCAATCGTAGAAAAACAGAAATGTTTGCTATCATCAAATTATATTCCCTGAAATCAGATTCGCAATAAAGTTGTTTATGCAAATCATTTCCACATTGAAGATAAATGCTCAAGATAAGAATAAAAAATAGTGCCAAAAAAATTATCCATAAATATTTGAATGCCCTGTCAATTAACATCATGCATCTTTGAAAAGTAGCAAGAGCATTATAAAGACCAAAAGATATTCTCCTAAAGGCAAATGCCCCATAAACAGTATAACAGGTAGTTTTGTCCTTGTCCTTAGGTGCTAACAAAATATGGTGATACCTTGAATATCCATTTATGAAAAAATAAAAGAATGCCCTGCGAGCCTATCAAGCATATAATTATGGAAAGGCAAGGTAAAATGATCTTTGGGAAAAATGATCATTCATAGTGGGAAAAATGATCATTCAGAGTGACTTTGTTTAGCTTCCTTTAGTCTATACAGATTCTCCAACCAGTGATAGTCCTAATAGGGATAGGTTCATTTTGTTCATTGGATATTACAACTAAGCCACTCTTTCTAGGAACACAATGAATGAGACTCATTCAATAACTATATGAAATATGATGTATAATTTTAGCATCTAGCTATTTAAATATCTCCTTTTTTACAACCTCTTTCATAGAAGGGTGTAAACTTCTTTGATGATTAGCTTTTGGTATAAAATTTGCCTCCATTAAAATCTTATGCATACTAATTATGGGGATAATTGCTTGGATATCATTAATAAACCATCAAAAAGCTTTATAATAATCACCTAAAATCCTAATCTACTTGCCTTCATATTTTGTATCCAAGCTTGTAGAAATTATCACAGGCAATGTTGAATCTCTTCCTAAAAAGATATGCCCAATATGGATGGGTAAATCCTTAAGTTCTAAAATAAGTGCTTCCTCTATAAAAGGTTGAAAGGTTATACCCACAAATGAAGTATGTATAGTTTCAACCTTCTCCCAAGACATTTCAATAACATCTCTAAAATATTGAACAGATTATCCTAAATCCTCACCATCTTCCTTTAAATCTTCTTCCAATGGGTTTTTCCCTAATAATTCTTCCTTAAAGCTCTTTATTACAATTTCAACTACATCAACTCTAAAATAGTCTATATTCTGTTCATGAGGGAATTTCATATATTTAAGAATATCTATGGTCACTTCTTGATCTTGAACCCTTATAGTTAATTCCTCTTTATAACATCAATTATAGTTTTTCCTATTGCTAAGAAAGGTCTCCCCAAATTAATTTGTATTTCCCTATCCTCTTCCATGTCTAAGATAATAAAATCAACAAGAAAAATAAACTTGTCTACCTTAATAAGTATATATTCTACCACTCGCTTATGATAAGTGAAAGATCTATCAACAAGCTAAAAGGTGATAATGGTGGGTTGAACCACTACTACATCTAATCTTTTGAAACTGGATAAGGGCATAAGATTTATTTAGATCCTACCACATAATTTATCTTCTATTGTCATAGTAATAATGAAGCTACCATGGCCTTTAAATTGTTCAAGAAGTTTCTTTTGAATAAGAGCACTATAGTTATCAATTAAAGACACAATTTCAAACTCTCCTAACTTTCTTTTCTTATTCAGAATTTCCTTCATGAATTTAGTATATATGGGCATTTGCTCTAAGGCTTCATAGAAGGGTATGTTGATGATTAACTTGTTAAACACTTCTAAGAACCTAGATAATTGATTATCTAAGTTTTGTTTAATCAGACTTTGGGGAAAAGGTGGTGGTGGTCTCTTTATAATCTTCCTAAAGGGTCTGGCAGTTTCTTAGATTGGTTCAGGTTACTGGTGTTTACCTCATTTTTCTATGAGATCATCTGGATCTATCCAGACTTTTGATTGTTAATTTTATGATTGGCAACTATAAAGTTATCAATCATCCACCAGCAATCAATCAACAATTAGTTTTATCCAATCAATCAACCAGTCAACACTTCAATCAACTCTAATCAATCAACCAGTCTACACTTCAATCAACTCAAATTAATCATCAATTTATGAGTTGCCTCATCATGGGTGCCTTCAATTGAGTTTGAGTTTTGGCTTTGAGTTCGGCTCACTACAAAGTGTTACCCATGGCACATGATATATAATAGAGTATGGATTGGTGAGTTCAGGATTCATCCTTGTAAACTAAGGCTTCATTTGTGATGATTTTTTTATTGTTTCTTAAAGTTATTTTCTAGTACAAAAATAAAAAAATTTGTACTAAAAAGTTATTTTAAGATGCAGTAAAAAAATCATCCCAAACAAAATCTAATTTAAAGTTTAATGATTCAACATTAGCTCATTTAATTTAACTTGGGAGCTATTTCTATTGGAGGCTTGCTACTCTACGGCAATCTAATTTAGTTGAATTAGACAAACTTTCTTCTACTTTCTAAAGCAGCTTTTTTAATACAAAAATTTTTATGTCGAACAACTTTTATACTAAAAAATAATTTTTAAAAACATTAAGAAAGTTGTCACAAACAAAACCTTAATAGCTAGTTGGCCAATTAGAGTTTTATTGAAAAGGTGGATCCTATATCGAAATAAATGCTCATTTAGTTTGAAATTGCATCTTACAATCCAATTTTCTCTAATATTCATTGATAAACTTCAATCATACATGAGTTATAATTGTCACAACCAAAAATACTAACAAAAAGAAGAGGTGATGCAAATTAAAAATATTATATTTATATTTTAAAAATAGCTCATAAAACGCTAAGTCTTAAAATAGTAGACAATGCTCTCAGTAGTTGCCGTCCAAGATGGCCCAAAAAGTGTAGTATCTTATGATCTTAATAGTGAGAAGTGAGAAAACCATCCAATCAAAGATCCGCAAAAAATCAATAACAAACAGGAGCCCTAAACAAGCTAATGAAATAGAAGATCATACTCTAAAACCATAATGTACATGTATGAAACCTTCAGCAATTACAGATTGAAACTCTGACAAAAAAAGAGATTCATCAACACACTATTTAATATCCGTTCACGAAGTCTCGGAATGAACTTCAAAACATAACATCATCAATAATAAGTAGCCGTCCATTCAAACATAGAAAGTGATCAAAATGATAATAAGCCATAGCGGGTGAAAACGACAAAGTTATACAGGCTTCATAAGAAAAGAAATTTAATCAACACACACTAATTAATAGTATAGTTGGTTTAAATTTGGTTGATGGTCTTCAATCATTTGGAGCTGATCTGATCACAAGGATCTCTTGCAACTCCTAACATCAACAGTAGTACTAATTGATACCGAATGCGATTTATAAATTCATAAATGTATGTATTGCGAGCATAATAAAAGGTTTACAAAGATAATGTCCATGTGGACCAGATATATAACATCATAACTGGCGCCTTATTACTGTAGCTAATGCTGTTAAACACTCTAAAACAGAATATCATCAAACTTTATCAAGATATATAGCCCCCCATAGAAACACTTTATTTAAGGTTCGCGTGTCCAGCGCCTAAGAAGTCTCCAAAAGCTTATTGATATCCTTCTGCAAATGGTTAAATTCACAAATACATTAGATAGTATTACAAGAGAATTACCAGAATAAGCACTCATTGGCGTAATGAGCAGAAATGACAAGCATTTCTTTATCCAAGACCATAATAAGATAGCCGTTTGATTTCTCCCGTGCTCGAGAATTTTTGCTCTCGTTTGATAAAGCAGAAATTCAAGATCTATATTATAAAAAAAGTTACCTCGATGCTCAGGGGAGAGGTGGTGGGAGCATAGCGATCGACAACACGACCCTCTTTATCCACTAGAAACTTGGAGAAGTTCCACTTGATGCTGTCCCCAAAAAGCCCACCTTTGCTTGACTTGAGGAACTTGTAGATGGGGGCAGCGTTTTGTCCATTTACATCCACCTAATAATGAACAACATAGAAATACGAACTGGTTCAAATGGTACTGTCATGTTAATAGTTTGATGTATGAATGTTACTGGGTGACCGACAAAATAATCTACAGCAGTGCAGTGTGCTTACAACCATTTATTTCAGTCATATTGATTAATGATCACTCCATGAGAAAAATCGAAACCATAATTATTTCTACAAATTCCAAGCCACCTCCCACAATCACAATTGACAGACATTTGGAAATTAAGAGGTTCATTGTAAAAACTTAAAAACATTTACAAATGGCAATCAAATCAAATGAGCAGGACGCAATTCTTATGCTTAAGCTAAGTTGCTAAATAGTTTAATTATCACTGCACAGATGCCTAGATGCACCAATTCTGTTATTGTTTTCATTAGGCTTGGACTGGCAAAGATCTAGTCTTCAGCATTTCATACAAATAAATTAAAAAAATAAAAATAAAAAATAAAACATAAACCTCTAATGCACAATTTTATAAAGTCGTAAAAATATTTGAGACTTACTAATAGGAAACGCTTGTAGAACTCCAAGTGGAACTTCATTTCAGCAATAGCTCTCCACAATTCTCCAACAAATCCAGAAAAGAACAGCAATAATAATGTAGTAGTTGACGAAATCGGAAGGAAAAAACCAAGATACAATTTATCCTCAATTCGAGAGGAGTATCTATATGTCCCAACTCTCTAGACGCCGCTAGTCCAAGAACGACAAGCACGAACAGAATTCAACAAATATAAAGATAACCCTAACTCTGATGCAATCCTTCTACTTAAAGCAAACAAAGTAATCTCCCAAAAGACTAAACAACCCTCATAATTCAAAATTCTCAATTAACCGCGACCAAAGAATCACCTTGTCCTCATGGAAAAAAGAAGAGAATTGACATTGCATCCTCTCGTACGGCTCCCATGTAGCGTCATAATCGGGAATATTCCTCCATTTGATCAACATACTTCTTTGATCCCCCCTCCCCCTTGTTAATCTTAGTGTAAAGAAATAAAAAAAAAAAAGAGTTTTACCTACTGTAATCCCCAAATCCCGCCGAACTCAAACGAAAATCTCGTAACTTCGTACATGTTCGACGCCACTCCAGTCTCTTCCCCGCGAATCCTGCAATGACAGCCTCAATCGCTGCTATTCAAAGTCTTTAAAAGCCAACCGAACGAAGACATCATGTCCGCCCTTCGCTACTCACGTGAACTCTCCCTTCCAATTCTCTCGGTTTCAAGAAAGTTGGGAAAGAGAAATAGAGAGAGAGAGAGAGAGGGAGACCTAACTCTCACTCGAATCCTCCTCTTGAGCCTTGAGCAGAGGGAGAGGTCGGCTTCTTTAGGTGGATTGGGTAGATAAAGAGGCGGAGGTGCTCGGCTCTAGCAGGAATGAAGCGATTGGATGGGAGTGTTCGGCTAGAGCTCGGGTTGGAGGCTCTCTAGATTGACAAGGTAGAGAGAAGGATCTCTCTTTTCTTCCCTCTCTCTCTCTTTCTCTATGTGGACCGAAGAAATGAGGAAGTCGGGTGCAAAAGTTCGTGGATTGGAGACCGACTGGAAGCGTCGAATGAGGCAACGAGTTGCTTGTGGCTTGCTATGTCAAAGGAGGAGCGGTTTTGAGGCTTCGGCAAAGGTGGGGAAGAAGAAGTTTAGAGAGGTATTGAGCTCTCGTTTTATTACTGAAGCCTGAACCGCGATTGAGGCGAGATGTTCGTATACGGAAGAAGTGAGCTGAGCGACGCCATTTGCAGATGCATGGGGCAGATTTTGGCAGGGATTTGCGGCAGGTCTTCGCCACAGGTAATGATTTGCATTTTTTTTATTTCTTTTGTCTGTTTGCTTTTGGTTATACTATGGAGGTCAACACTCCTCGTGAGAGACTGCTTGCCCTAAGTACTCCACACTAGCCTGTACAAAGCAACACTTCTTCAGATTGGCCTTTAGTTGTTGCTCCTGTAACACCCCTAAGATCATCCTCAAGTGCTCTTAAAGTACCTTGTTTGACCTGCTATACACCAGGATATCATCAAAGAAACCAACACAAACCACTTGACATATGGTTGTAATTCCCTATTCATGAGGGACCTGAATATCGTCGGGGCATTGGCAAGGCCAAACACCATCAACAAGAACTCATAGTGTCCCTCATGTGTTCTGAAAGCAGTCTTCAGAACATCCTCCCCTCTCATTCAGATCTGATGGCATCCGAATTTAGATCTATCTTTATAAAGATAATTGTCCCACACAGCTCATCCAATAGCTCATCTATCACTAGGATCAGAAACTTGTATAACACCATCTCCTTATTCAAGGCTCGATAATCTACGTAGAACCTCCAACTCCCGTTCTTTTTTCTTAACCAGTAATATTGAGATAGAAAAAAGACCCACACTAGGCCTGATAATCACTGCCTCCAGCTTTTCTCTGATCAACTTCTACATTTCATCTTTTAGAAACTGAGACACCCCCTACCTCAAGGTGATAGCATATTGTTGCTCCCTCAGTGGTAACAATCCTTGAGATGGTTGAAAGACTTCACTGAATTACTATACTAGGGGTGGTAATGCAAGAGGAATTCCCCCCCCCCCCTCTAATCAGATCCCCTCTAATCTCTGCAACTTCACCAGGAATCCTCCCCACACTTCCTGTAGGGTCCTAACCAAAATTTTGAGAGACACTAAGGCTTTGGATAACCCCGCATCTCCCCGGATCACTACTCTTCTCCCCGCCACCAGCAACTCCATCGTTAGTGCTCCCATGTTGACCTTAATATTCGCAAGGTCTGCAGCCACTTCATCCCCAGAATGATATCAGTGCTTCCTAACTCCAAGGTGAGAAAATCCTCTCGCCTGAATCACCGTATGGTCAGCACTACTCCCCTATATATCCCCATACCCGTCTCTACCTTTCCCGTGCCCATCATCACTCCATAGCACCCTGTATCCACCAATGTCACCTTTAATTGGTCCACAACCTAGTTAGAGATGAAATTATGAGTATCTCCAATGTTAATCAACATCACCACCTCCCTGTCTACAAATTCTCCATTCACTTTCATGGTATGACTCGGGGTGAATCCAACCACTGAGTTTCAGGAAATATCCGCCACATCTAAATGTAGCTTGTCCTCCTCTACCTAGGTCTCACTACCACCTCCCTACTCAACTTATTCATCATCACAGACAATGAGACCTGAAGAGTTCGGTCCCTGCACCTATGCCCTGGATTATACTTTTCGTCACATCTGAAGCATAATCCTTTAACCCTCCTTTCTTGTAGCTCTCTCTATAAGCTTCTTGAAGTTTCCCCCCACTTCCCCCTCCTACAAGCTTCTCCCTTGGGGTCTCACAAAGGTTGCTCGGTGTAGGCCACTTGGGTGTTAAGAAAGTAGTGGTCATCTTGTATGAGCCACCTGAATTGTCGCCTCTAGCTCCCCACTCCTAAAACATTTGATCCTCCACCAGTTGCACTATCTCCATAGCCTCTCCCAAGTCACGCATCCTTATGACACTAACTGCTGCTTGAAATTCCCCTCTAGAACAGTCTCAGAAAGTCGGTCCAATCTACTCACCAGGTACTTATATATCTCACGATATTCTACCATCGAGCCTTCCTATATCAGGTCAAAGAACTGCTCATAGAAGTCCCCTCTCATGCTGGTTCGGAAACGTTCAAATAAGTACTCTTTGAACTCCCTCCAACTTCATATGGGTTACCTCATAAGTCTCCATTAGTACCAAATCAATACCTTCCCTTTCAAACAAAGGTCGGCTACCGTCAATCTTTACTTCTCCGTCAACCCGTTGAAATATATCTCTACCTTGTAAATCCATTTGTGTGTATCCTCCCCCTCAAAGTTGAGCATCTTCAGTTTTCAGACCAGTGGATCTCCCCATTTCTCATAAATACTCCATAATTTCCCCTTCTCCAAGTGGGAGGTCCCCCCCAGTATCTCAATCCTCCCTTCCACGTTCATACCCAATCTCACCCTTCTTCGATTTTCTTCATTCCTTAAAAATCAACACCTCTTTGACCATAATCTCCCTCCCTCCTTTCCCAATCCGCACCCCTTTGCTCATTCTCCACATATCCACGCCTCTCACCATACCTTCCACCTTTCTCCTCCCTCAAAAAAGGTTCCAGATGGGGTCTTGCTTCTTCCTCTAAGATATCCACATCATTTTCATCCATACAATTTTCAAAGTTTGCATTTCTTCTTATCGGCACTCTTGCCTCCGATGTTGCCATTTGATTTTGAAGATCTCATATCTTCTTCATCATCTCCTAAAGGTCCGAAAAATTGTCTTCCATGGAGGAAATTCTATCCTCCACCTTCGTTTTGATTTGGCTCATCTCATACTCAAGACATTTTTCCAAAGCATCAACCTTTTTGGCTGCCATCGATACCCGAATCTTTGTTAGACTCAAAAATCCGGATTTTAGCCACAAATACAAAAATAGCAGTTCGACGATAAAAAACTGCTGAAGGAATCATCCAAAATCAAGTCCCGGACACTGCTCTGATACCAATTTGATAGAAAACACTTGTAGAACTCCAACTGAAACTTATCAATGATGGAATTTCAGAGATATCCCTCCATAATATTCCAACAAATCCAAAAAAAAAAAAGCAATAATAATGTAGTTGATGAAATCAGAAGTAAAAGAACAAGGTACAATTGATCCTCAATTCAAGAGGAAGATCTATCTCTCCCAACTATCATGATGTCGCTAGTCTAAGAATGCCAAGCACAAACAGTTTCAGAAAATACAAAGATAACTCCAACCCTAAGGCAATCCTTCTACTTAAAACATACAAAATAATCTCCCAAAAGACTAAACAACCCTTCAATTCAAAATTAGACTATGCTGCCGCAGAGAAAAGTTGGTCGTATTAACTATATAAACAAAAAGCATGGGTCTATTAATATGTTGCAGCAGACCAACCAGGCCCATGCAAAGCTCAGCAAAAATTTAATTACCTTGTCGAAGATAGGGTACTCTGCTTTGAAGCGTGTGCAAGCGAATTCAACAATCTCCTCATTGCTACCTGGCTCTTCACCTCCAAACTGGTTGCATGGGAAAGCCAATATCTCTAGACCTGCAAAAACGAAAATGCATATGTAAGCAAAAAATATACATATCTGAAATGAAAAACAAGGGTATTCAAATATGTCAGCAGAATTTCATATCATTATATTCAAGGCCTGTTTGAGGCGGCTTTTTTACTGCTTTACTTTTTAGACCACTAACATGCTTTTATTTTACTACAGCTTTTTTTTTTTTCTTTTAAAAAGTTCCTATGGTAAGTAGTAACTTCACGATCATATATACTAGAGTATGATAGTTGTAAAGAAACTATTATACCATCTTTTTAAAAAGAAAAAATCTATAATACCCATAACTTATCAAAAATTTGATCCTATCATGACAATTCTACAACCATTATTACAAGCCGAATCAAATAGGCCTTTAATATTCTTCCATGCAATTTCATCATGCACACAAATTTTGGAAACAAGGGCAGCTTCCTCTCATAAATTTGAGTGATATTGAATCATAAGGCAATCACTTGTACATTATTGATTTAATCTAGACAACATCTAGTAAAATATGAAATAAATGATTTTTCTCTTGGTCACTGTTCCTGAAAAATATTTACGAGTCATAGAATAGCACATGAACCGAAAAATGCTCAATTCTATTTTCTATATTATTTTAATTACTACACTGCTTTTACAATATGCAGAAATACAGAATTTCACCAACTAATGCATTCAAGTTAATTAGTACAAAACAAAATTTTACTCAACTAAAGCATTCAGCATTCTGCCACAAATACGGATAGAAAGACTTCGCAGTTCTTGTACATGCATAAACAAATTTTAGCACCATGTTGTAAAGTATGTGAAAATAAATATAACAACTAGAAGTCTGCTAAAGTGTACTTCTCATACTAAAAAAGAACTGGGCATAAACAATGTAATAAGACTATAAAGAAGGAAAAATTGGAGCTTTCAAGCTAATATATTGAACAAAACAATTACCTTTATCCTTGTATTTCTCATACAACTGACTCATCTCGGTATAATTTGAGTTGGTTAACCCGCTGCATCAGATATATTAGAAAGTTCAGATGTGCAATATATATTACTAAATTCTTTTTGAAATAAAAAGGTAGACACAGTAAAGGAGGGAACTAATACCATTGAGAAGCAACATTTACAATGAGCAGAACCTTGCCCTTGTAAACACTAAGGTCTACGTCTTCTCCACGAGCATCCTAAAAACAGAAAACGATTAGAGCTTTAACATGCATATTCATCAAACAAGCACTCACCAACTGATGGGAACTTGATCCGAGCAGAGCAATTCAAGCTTGCTCAAGCTCCCCCAAAAAAGAAGCAAGGATAGAAGACAAAAGGGGGGGGGGGAGTTTCAATCACGTACTCATGACGTCGTACTTCTCAATTTGGATTACTTATAGAATAAAATACCTATTTAAGCTAATTACTCTACCACATTTTAACTACTAAACTAATTAAAATTAGTTTCACATCACCAACTCTTCTAGTTATTTCAACATTCCTTAGACACAGTAAAATTCCCTACTAATAAACTTTTACATATTTAGAACAATGAAAAGAAAATTCAGTAGTAACAATGTGGAATCCTAATATGATTACATATCAAAATTGTAGAGATAAAAATAAGCAAACTGTTTGCAATTAAGATACCAGTATCCAGTTGGGGAGAAAAATCAGAAAAATCTCTACCCGTCCTGAAAATTCCTAATTAGCATTCAGAATGCATTACAAGTGTCATAATGCTAGCAAACTTCACCGTTAGTTGACCTTTGCAGAAAGAATACTGTGAGGGTTAGCAGGGAGCGTGATTGCCCAAAATTTCTATAATATCAATCCATTATTATTTCATTAAGGAAATTTTTAAAAACTGATTGTATCTTTAGATGCCGTAAGTTTTAGAGGAATTAAGACCATAATTCTCCACAATCCATCATGAATAAAATTTGCAGCATCCCAAACAGAGTACAGACATTATTTGGGTGAATATGTGTAAAATTTTTGTGTGCTTTTGTGCGTTGATAGTCTTTTCTACTTCATTTTCTTTCTTTCTTTCAGTATTTGAAGTACACGTTTCGTCTATTCCCCAACAAAATGAGCACTCATACACCAAGAAGAAAAATTCTGAAAATCCAACAATAAATTCATAAACTTCGGGCATGTTTAAGATCAATTAATTTATATTTTGAAATTATTTTATTTTATTTTATTTTATGTTTAATTTCTTTTGCTTATTTTCTCAGTTAAAATTAAATATGTATTTTGATTTTGTTTTCTAAGATAAAAACAAAATTTTATCCCAAACAATCCTTAAATAAATCAGCATATTACAGATCGAGAAAAATAAACAATAAAAATAAAACATTTGCTGTTCTCCATTGAAAACAAACATTCATAATAATGTTGACAGAGAAAAAACTCACTTTCTCACTCCACAATTCCAAAACTAGCAGCCTTATGCAAATAATCAATGTTAAAGAAAGTGCAAACAAATGAAATTAAGCCAAAATTACGCCAATTCCGGCAAACCTACATGTACAATCCAGAACACCTTCATTCTCAATTTCCCGATTAAAAATAAGAATTTTCAATTCAAAGATAAGAAAAACATACATACAAGGATAGATTCGACTCACTTTCACAGTGAAATCGTGGACGGATTGAACCGACTGTGAAGCCGTGCTCGACATCTTAGAAAAGCGTCTCGATCGCAAATGAAACGGAAAATTAAAGCAGAAGACAACGAATGGAAGATCGCGGAACTCTCGAAGGCTCAATACGGCAGAGAGGTGAACTCGGAAGGCAGAAATTAGTGTTTTCACTGGACGCACAGAGATGAAAGTGGTATAGAACATACAAATCAGCGGAGCTTTAGGTTTATAGTAGGTAATAGAAAAGCTGACAGAGGTCCGCAATGTGAACTCTCACGATATCAGAACAGCGAGATCTTTTTAGAGAAATCTGATTCTTTCAGCCATTGCAAAAAGTAGAAATTATTTCGTGCGCACGCAGCTCTAAGCTATTTTGTCCGGACTTCAAATATTTAGATAATATATGTTTTACATATATACCACTTTATTACATGTTATTTATATCTAATAAAAAAATATTAATATTACATATTTACTATCTATAGAATAAATTTAAATGCATGAAATTAAATATTAAAACTTATAGAATCATATGAATGTTAAAAATGAATTATTAGAGTGATATATTTAATATTAAAGTTTTATATGGATGATAGACATGTAATATTAATATTTTTGGTATTAGATATATAAATAACATAAAATAAAATAGTATGTATGTAAATTTCCCTTTATTTTTTAAGTCTAGCTTATTTTAAGAGTTTATGAGTCATTTGTACTTCGTGATTTGTATATCGTTTGTATTTTTAATATTATAGTAAAAAAGCGTAGTATTTATATGCCCTAACAGGAGAACATTTGCTTCTATCAATCAACTATGTTGAATTTTCAGTGATATTTTTATTCATTTTAAAGCTTTCTCAGCTTTTCACATATGTGTATTACATAAACTGTGGAAAATGAATTTTTTTTACATTGGATTGTCGTGCATTGTTGTTGTGTACTGTTATGAATTGCTATATATTGTTGTATATTGATGTGTATTATTGATATGTATAGTTTTGTATTGTTATGTACTGTTGTATATTGTTGTATTATTGTGTATTATTGTTGTGTACTGTTGTTGTGTATGGTTGTGTACCGCTGTGTACTGCTGTGTAAAATGCACTATTTATTGATTGGTATCGATGTGTAGTCAAGCTTATATAAACCAAACATAAACTTTGAATCCAACTGAATTCATATATATAACAAATAGTAAGCTTCATGAATAGATGACTCTCAAATTAGTTGAGTTGCCTTGAAGTTGTTCCATAATTATTAGGTTTTGATTCATCTTCAATGGATTAATATTGTCACAATTATTGAACAGTAGCACTTTCCTGTCTCAACAATTTAGGGAAAGGGAGGCTTTATTGATAGTTTTAACTCTTAAGTATTGCCTGAAGATATAAACCAAAAAAGTAAGCGCCTTCAATTTTTTAAAAAATTTTCATTTCTCACATTAGAATTCTTTAATTTTTTATTCTATTTAATAAATTCATTCTTTTAAAGAAAAGCAACAATGGCGTATCTATTGCCTCATACAAATATTGGATTTGCAACAAACAAGTGGGATAGCTTCCTATCAACTTCATTGTTCAAACCTCAATCATATTAACATATAGTTATTATGGCTTGACTTGTCATCCCGCATTATAATAGAGAAATTTCATTACAGCAGTATACGTAGCGATACACATAGTAATATATAGTGGTACACAGTAGCGTTACGTAACGGTACACAGCCGAAAATTTGGATGGCTAATGACAAATGTGAATGAATCATTTGACTATATATAAGAATGAAGAACCAACATGTTACTTTTGTATAATCATGCGGAGCTGAATTCGAATTTAATTTGAGTACAGATTTATTTACTTATTAGATTCAAGTCAAATTTTAAATAATTTGAGTTTCTTTATAATATAATCAAATTTTGTTCATCATCAAATTATATATATCGGGTGTCAATAAATGATCTCATTTGCTCATCCGACACAAATCTACTCCAAAAAATTCAAATTTAAATTGACATGTTTAATAAATAGCTTGGATTCATGTATATAATTATGACTCATTTATTAAACATGTTGGATCCGAGTTGACCCGCAAATCTACTCCCCTAACTGACCAGGGGTCAAAATGTCCAACATACCCTTTAAGGGTAAAATTGAAATTTCCTTCAAACTTCAATATGGCGCAGTCAAATCAAGCCCTGGAACCACCTCTAATGTATCCTAAACATCATTAGGAATGCATTCGACTCAACTACAGACCTTTGTCAAGTCCAATTGATCAAGTCAACCTATTTTGACCAAAATACTCCTCAAGGGCTTAAATGATCATTTCAAATAAAATGGCCTCCCCATTATATGGGACCACCTCCATTGAACTTAAAATATCATTTCAAACCTGTTGAGCCTAAACTTAGGCCCTAGGTCAACCCGATTGATGAAGCCAACCTAGTTCACCAAGTCAACTTAGGTTGATAAAATGGTCCCTTAAGGGTCTAAATGGTCAATTTGACTAAAATGACCTTTCTAATCCAAGAAACAACATCCTTTGGTCTCCATTGGTCAAACCAAACTTGTTGAGTCCAAACCCAACCTCTAGTTTAACCTGCATGACCAAGTCAACCTAGGTTGACCAAACTAACCATTAGGATCTACACAAATCAAATTAAGCTTTAAATGCATTCAAACTTCATCAAAATCACTTGGCCACTTTTCCTAGTGATTTGGAGCTAACTTGTCACATTGACTCAATCAATAGTTGACTTGGTCAAATGGGCCCATGATTGGCCAAAGTTGACCCATATGACTTAATTTAATGTACTCAATCAACTCAACCCATTTAAACATTATCAATCTCCAAACCTATATGCTTCAAACTTCAAATACATTCAAAATCAATAATAACTTAGGTTTGATATGTTTGACCTCTTCAAACTTATGTGTATGACCAACCCATGTCAAGATGAGTCAATTCAATCCTTTCAACCAAATTAAAAACTTCAAGCTTTCAATCTTATTCTAATGCATGATTCAAATGCATTTGAACATATCATAAGTCAAATATTAAGAACTTTGTCTTGGTCAAACTTTACATCTATGTATTCATCCATTTAAACTTCAATCTCATTGTTTTAACAATCCTTAAAACCAATTCGCTCAATGCCATGAATACTTCTTAGATCACCTTAAATAAAATCATATTTATTTTGACCAAGTCAACCCATGAAGACTTGGTCAAACTCACTTAAATTCTTATGCCCTTGCTCAAACCACAATTCGATGGCTTTAAACCCATGGCATTCCATCTCATCAGTAGCCTTGATCCCTAAGAGCCACCTCAGTAGTCAAGTTGACTGGATGACTAGTCAACCTAGTCAATAAAAGGGTAAAAGAAGTTTAAATAGTCAAACAAATTCAAATCTCTTAATCCCTCTGAATGAAACAGACTCCAGAAGCTTAAATGGCTTCTGGAACATTCTGAAATCATTCTTATTCTCTTGATTAGATCTTAAGCAAAGACATGTGGTTCTATGTGCACAAGGGGACAAAAAGGCTTTTCCATTTAGATGTCCTTGTATTGTCCTATTCCCTACCTTTCTAACTACCCTTTTCAGGTGTCAAGCATTTGTGAATGTTGCTAAAGTAATCAGGGCCATCCACAATAGCATAGGAGCTTTTGATTTGGAAAAAACACTCAAAATAACTCTCATTCCAAATCAAGCCGACTCTCACCAACCAGACCTACTCAAGCCTAACTCAAGTTTTGTTTGAGCTCCCAACATCCCCTTTCCACTTCCCTTGTCAAAATCAACTGGTCAAACCTCATCGACATCAGCTTTCTAATGACTTTAGCTAGAGATCCATCCAACCCAAAGATATGTTGATCCAGTATGTTTCAGACCGCAACTTCAACTAGGAAAATTTACATCGACAGACTACAATTTTAGAGAATCCTAAATCTAACAATTGGATTGAGGTAAAACCTTAACCCTAGGCTAGAATACTTAGAACTAAATATCTTTCAATTAAATGATTTTTAAATCGCAGTATCATACCTCCCACAATTTTTGTTCAATTTCTTGAGTCATGTTTAAAATTTCATGAGAAATGATTGAGTATATTCAAAGAATGAGCCATTTTTGCATTTATGGCTTCAGTTTTATGTTAGGTTTAATTGTACAAGATCCTGGCCATTGATCTCATGATCAATGATTGAGATCTTGTCATTCAGCAGTTTTGTATGACCACGAGTTAGCTCTCATTCATTTGAATCATTGTCTGGCACGATCTGAGTTATTGGTCTCAAACCATGGAAGATCCAATAGCTCCACGATGATGCTGACATAGATAAGTTAAAATTACATCCGTGCTACCACATTTTCATTTAATGCAAATGATTGCTAGCAGCGTAATCATTGGTGTTAAATATCATGCCGCCACTATAATTTTATCCCTCTTTAAAATTTCAGCATAGGTAATGAAAACTACTTGTTATGTACTTAATCAATCTAAGTTAAATAAGATACCATATGAATTTCTTAAAGGTAGAAAACCTAATTTGTCTCATCTACATGCATTTGGATGTAAGTGTTTCATTTTAAATAATGGAAAATCTCATTTATGGAAATTAGATGCTATGGAAGGTGAATTATATTTTTAGGATATTCCTCAGTAGACAAAGCAAATAGAATATTTAATAAAAGAACTTTAGTTATTTAGGAGTCCACCCATGTTATATTTAATGAATTTAATAAGGTTTCTAATGATAAAAAAATAGATGAAGAAGAAGATATAATCCATAGAGTATAGAATATGGGATTAAAGGATAGATAAGAAGTTCATGATACACTTCCTAGAGATTGGAGATATACATGTAGTCACCCTACATAACTCATTTATAGAATACCAATTCACAAGGGTTAGGACTATGCATGGTATTAGAAAGGAAGTTAGCCACTTAGCTTTTATCTCTATGGGAGAGCCCACTTGCATAAAATGAACTCACGAAGATGAGTTTTAGATTGTAGCTATACAAGAAGAATTAAATTAATTTGTCAGGAATGATGTGTGGGGATTAGTGAGTAGAATCACTAATCAAAAAATTATTGGAACTAAATGGGAATTCAAAAATAAATCAAATATCTCTGGATCAGTTATTAAAAAAAAAAAAAGGCTAGGTTTGTGGCAAAGGGTTACATGCAAATTGAAGGGATGAGTTTTGAGGAGACCATTACCACCATATCTAGTCTAGAAGCCATTAGGATATCATTAGCATATGTATGCTTTAAAGGATTCACATTATATCAAAT